CGATGGGAGAGTTAGAACACCAGGGCCCAGTCAGATAGAGCATTTGAGGGGAAGGAAAGAAATGGCACAGCATTACTTGTAAGTTTCTGACTTGGCAATTTAGATCGCTGTAGTGAGAGTCATTACCTAGGATAGGGAATTTAACAGGAAGAGCACGTTTAATAATGAGTTCCGGGGACTTCCCTGGTGGCGCAGTGGTTAAGCGTCCTCCTGCCAATGCAGGGGACACGGGTTCGAGCCCTGGTCGGGGGACTAAGATCCCACATGCCATGGGGCAACAAAGCTTGCACGCTCCAACTACTGAGCTCGCACGCATCAACTAGAGCCCATGTGCCGCAAACTACAGAGCCCACATGCCCTGGAGCCCATGTGCCACAACTAGAGAGAAAACCCACATGCCACAACTAGAGAGAAGCCCGAGTGCAGCAATAAAAGATCCCGCATGCCTCAACAAAGATCCTACGTGCCACAACTAAGACTCTACGCAGCCCAAAAAATAATAATAAAAAGAAAATAAATAAATATTAAAAATAAATAAATAAAAACGAGTTCTGTTTTAAACGTAATAAAAGTTTGAGGGAAGTGTGGGATATCCAGGTAGGGAGGTTAGCAGTTAGGTTTCAAGGGGTCAACACTTATATCGTGAACGTTATGTGCCAAGCCCTTTTCAAATATTAATTCACTTAATCTTCATCCTATTCACTGAGATAGCAACTACTGCCACCCCATTGTATAGACGGGGAAACTGCTGTACAGAGAAGTTAAGTAACTTCTCCAAAATTCCATAGCTAGTCAGTTTTGAAGCTGGGATCCCAAACTCAGAGTCTGTGCTCTTGTAGAGTAGGTGAAGTCACAGGCAAGGAAAATGAGCAAAGATGAGAAGAACAATCTAGGATGAAATACTGGAGAAAAGTATAAGTACCTGTTAAGCCAAAGGTGAAGGGGGAGCCAGAGGAAGGAGCCAGTGAGGGGGGTGTGGGGGGGGGAGGGTAAGACAGGCAATAGGGGAAGTCTTAAGGGCAGGAAGTAAGTGATGATATATTTGTAACTCACAACAATCCCTTGCATATAATCTACTCCACATAAATGTTTTAACTGAATTAATAGCCCTATAATCCCAAATAATGATCACATCAAATATCCATGCTTACAGCATATTCAAAAAATTTCATAGGTGAGCAAAACCTATATCATGTATGTCTGTGATTTTTCTAGAATACCAAGAGTTTGTGGAAGACACTGTGTCATTTAATATGAAACAACAGCTTAGACACCATATGAAATCATTCCATACATTTATGTCCAACTAAGAAGACTTCTGTTTTTTGCGGAACGCGGGCCTCTCACTGTTGTGGCCTCTCCCGTTGCGGAGCACAGGCTCCGGACGCGCAGGCTCAGCGGCCATGGCTCACGGGCCCAGCCGCTCTGCGGTATGTGGGATCTTCCCGGACCAGGGCACGAACCCGTGTCCCCTGCATCGGCAGGCGGACTCTCAACCACTGCGCCACCAGGGACGCCCCAACTAAGAAGACTTTTTGAAGCTTTATTCACATCCTACTTTCACAGCAATGAAACACGTTACTCTGTTTTGCATTTTGTTGAAGATCACATGAAATACTGGCTCCTCTAAGTTTTGCAAATGACAGCTACAAAATTGTGTAGTCTCTTCCTAAAAAAGGATTTAGAAACCGTGTATATGAAAACTAATTACTTCTCATTTGAAGGAGTTACTAGAGCATCTGGTGAATCTTGAGTTGTGCTGCTATAATAAACCTTCTGTGTATCTACACAGTCTTTGGTTATGCATTCCTTATTATACTTTACAATTTTATACCCTAAACACAAACATTTAGTAGAAAATGAGTTTCCTCACAAACATTTAGTAGAAAATGAGTTTCCTCAAGATACAAAAACGCTGGCCCCCACTTCCAATTCAACACGAGTGTTTTCTAAGTGTTTATTAATCTTGATTTCCATGCCCAAACTCAAAGTACTTTCCCAACTTTAATGCACGTACAAATCTTTCAGAGATCTTGTTAAAATGGAAGATTCTGATTCAGCAGATCTGAAACCAGGCCAACACTCTGCATTTCTAACAAGCTCCCTCCTGCATGATGAGATGCTCTGGTCCACACTGGCTACTCCACCGTGGCGCTTGGACCAGAAGCACTGGCACTACTGGGGGATGTTGAGAACTGCACGGCCCTCAGTGTGACAAACACCAGACCAATATCGTCTGCTGAAGCTGGTAACTCTAGGCATTTACATTAAAGTATTTCTTTTCAAGCCCATTTACAACTCATTCACTGACATTTCCTTTTTTGTCGGTAGGAAAGGTGACATCTTCTTTTCTTTCTATTCTTTTCATGATCCTAAACCGTGGATCTAATAGCTAAGCCCCTCCACAAGGAGGCCCCAGCTGGTTCTTTCAGGCTTCTCTCTTATAATCCCTGTACCGGGGGCTTCCCTGGTGGCGTAGTGGTTGAGAGTCCGCCTGCCGATGCAGGGGACATGGGTTCGTGCCCCGGTCCGGGAAGATCCCACATGCCGTGGAATGGCTGGGACCGTGAGCCATGGCCGCTGAGCCTGCGCGTCCGGAGCCTGTGCTCCACAACGGGAGAGGCCACAATAGTGAGAGGCCTGCGTACCGCAAAAAAAAAAAAAAAAAAAAGCTGATAATCCCTGTACTGGTCCACAACATGCCAACTGAATGGACTGGTTATTTTCTAAATATAAACCATGCTCTCTCACCACACCCCCTCTTGTTTTGTTTTGTTTTGTTTGGTTGATGCTTTCCCCTATCAAGCCAGTCTCTAGAGCCATCTCTCTCTGCTCACCTTGCCTGATTTCTCAATGAGATGTGACCTCACCATTCTCTGAACCACCCACTCGCCCTCACCACAGGAATTTTTCTTTCATTATAATATTTACTACATTCTGCTAGATATGACATATGTTGGTCTTTGCCTTATCTCAGCTATTGAATTACAAGCTATTTAAGGGTAGGAATTTTTATAACTAATTTTGATATTCCCTGCATTGCATAACACAGTTAGTTCCTCACTAAATGCTAAATAAAGCTCCAATAAAATTGAAGTAAAGCATTATTCCTTAATGATGATAAACTTGATCTAAATAGTCTCAAATCACAAATCTAAATTACATTTCTTATTTCTCCAAATACTATTGGTTTTCTACTTCAGTCATCACAGAAAATTGGGCACAATGCTTTATTTGCATTTTTTCCAACTGTGACACCTAGAAAATTTTTATTTAATCTTACTTGAATCATTTTATCAGAACTTAAATTCTGAACCAGTTCACCTGGCATTTTCATACTGAACAGTCCAAATGTTTATATATCAGTTGAAGAAAATTTTGTAATGAAATCTTCCTAAAACCATTATAAAACTCCACATACACACAAAGAAAAATAGACCACGAAGCAGCACAGATATCATTACACCTGTCATGCTGAAATAAAGCATGGTGACAAAGGTCAATTTTTAGAAACTAAAGGCTCTTCAGAACACCTGGAAGAATCTGAGGTATGAGGAGACACCATGTTTACTTTCAATCACGAAGTCGGCGTTAGTCCAAAGTCAGTCAACTGGACAATTTCTCAAGTACAAACAAATAAAATCCAAAATAATGTATGACTAAAGTAAACAGTGAGTCAAAGGAAAATATCCTGTGCTAAATTCTGAGGATAAATAAACAGACTAAGAACATAAGTTAATTCTAACTGATTGTTAAAAATGAGCCCAGGTCAATAAATGTCTCTAACCGAAGGGCGGAAAGTGAGATCAGAGTTAAAAAAGTGATATGGGGTTGTGATAACCACCAATGACTAGAACACAACAACTAATTATCAGAGCTGCATTGCCCCAAAAGCAAGAATTAAAAGAAAGGCTCTAATGTCACTGACTACATAAAAAATGTTCTACTTGAGAGCTGCTAGGGCAATACTGAGCATCCTACCTGAAGACCAAAAAGTAACCATACTCGTTAAATCCTGCAAATGACAGTCATTCATTCGTTAATTAGCTTCCTAACCTTAAAGATTGTGCCTTTGGCAAAGAACAGGTAAGGGACGGGAGTTTCTGGTGATGTTCTGACAGCCAGAATCATGGCTCCCCCAAAATATCCACATCCTAACTTCCACGAACCTATGAATATGTTACCTTACATGGCAAGCGGGACTCTGCTGTGGTTGTGATTCAGCTAAGGACCTTGAAATGGGTAGATCATCCTGGATTATTCAGGTAGGGCCAAGGCATTCACAAGGATCCTCACAGTAGAAGAGGAAGTCAGAGTGATAAGATGTGAGGAGAACTCAACAACCTACTGTTGCTGGCTTTGAAAGGAAAGGAAGGGGCCATGAGCCAAGGAATGCGGGCAGCTTCTAGCAGGTGGAAAAGGCAAGGAAAGAGACTCTCCTCTAGAGCCTCCAGAAGGGAATGCAGCCCTACTGACATCTTGATTCCAGCCTGGTAAGACCCTTGCTGAACTTCTAACCTACAGAATTGTATAATAGATTTGTGTTGCTTTAAGCCATTAATTTGTGGTAATTTGTTACAGCAGCATTGGGAAACTAATACAATGGTTAACTGCCACAGAAAGAATTCTCTAAAACAGATAACTGCTTTTGAGAAGGGTAGAGTGACGCTCTATAAAATGCTCAGCAAATATGTGAATTAAGATTTAGTTTGTATTACTAAGACATAGACCTGCTCTGCTGTAAAAGGCTAACACACAAATCTTAAAACTAGATTTTATAAAAGGGTTGAAAGTAAATACAATTAACTTTGATAGAAAATCTTGGGTTAGAAAACAAAGCAGAACAAGGTATTTTCAGCCAGACAAGAAGGTGATAAAAAGTAAGTAGGAAAATGTGATATTCCTTGCAGATAGCATTTTAAAAACGACAACCATAGTATCCTTTCCAATAGGCCAGCTAAAAGGCAAGAATCAGCATGTCTTTTAAAGCTCATATTTACCTGATGATCCTCTGGGCAGCATATTGATGGAGAGAACGAAACTGCGCCGACATATTTGCTAAAGCTGCCAAACAATTTGTGTGAAGGTACTTGTCCTGTCAGAAAACAGCAAGTTTAAAACATACATCGAGTCTTCTCGACATTTTAAGCAAGGTTAACTAGAAGCAAATGTAAACTCAATTGTCACTGATTTTAGAAAGTGCAGATCCACAATCTGTTTTCTCTAATTCCAAAATCCATAAAGCACTGAAAATCCAAAGTTTTTTCACTGCTAGTTTGGAACCAACATCTGGCACAAAAGATAATGATGCTATTTATGGTCTTCATTAAGCCCACCCTGGAGAATACTGAACTATTTTGCTGCAGAAATATTAATGTTTAGTTACAGTGCGTGGCTCCAGAACCTCATGGTTACATATAGTGTAGCATACAAACTATAATTATCTTTCTAAAATCAAAAAATTTTCTGTGCTAAAACACATGTGGCTCCAAGAGTTTCAGATAAAAGACTGTGGAAAGGCTAACCTATGTTAGCCTCCCAGAGGGGCGTAACTGAAAACGGTGCAGTAAATTTGACCACTTCTCTAAGCTATGAATTCTGTATATCGCTTCTCTAGTGACTGGAACTGAAATTTGCTCCCAGGCATAGCAAATACAATCTAGTTGAAATTTTCCTTTTACTCTTTAAAGTATTCTCTTTTTCTCCATTTCTTTCCCATCTGAATTCATATTTTCTTGTGCTTGTATCTTCTTACGGTTTGTTGTTGCTACTTTTACAAGGTAAACCAGTTTTATCAGTCCAGAAAAGACATACAACATCTTTTAACTAAATGTGCTCCCCTGCTTATTTTCTATTACATGTAAAATAGCTCTGATCATACCACCTATGAAATATTAAGAAGCAGACACTTTAAACATTACCTTAGGATCATAATACAGTGACTATATGCTGGTCTATATTTTTCCACCATATTCCATGAGAACGTTTGCACTCTAAATATTGAGATGGCTTTAAACTATAGTCTTCATTGTACTGTATGTATAAAGGTAGAAAAATAGCTACGGAATACTTACTCTTGTCCTTGTCATGTTGTACTGAATAGTTCTTATTACAACCAGTATCAGGAGACTCCCCAGTGAAATTTCAGTTAAAACCCGTTCTGAATACCAAGTAATATTTTTTAACATCTGTAATAGGGAAGAAAAGTTTAAGTAAATATGATTGCTTTAGGGAAAAAGGGATTATCCATGTCTACAATTTCTGACAAGCTGTGGCTTTGCTCTGAAGGTGAGTTAAACAGTATATAAAAGTAAACTGTGAGAATTTCAGTTCAAGACAGTGAAACTGTGCTGATGTATTTTCTTCTTCTTCCTTCTTAAATATAAAAGAAAAAAAACAGACGATGCTATCATTAGTAGACAAAAAGGAGCTATATTTAAAAAGGTATGGCACATAGAACAAGTCTGACAGAAAAACCATCAGAGGTCAGTAGTTTGAAAGCAAAAATAAGAAAACTGAGGAGTCTCTTGAAAAAGTGGAGCTATCGTAACAACCACAGAAAATCTCTACCCTTGGGTCGAGGAGAGGCCAAGAATGCAAATTAGCCAAGATCTTCAAGAAGAGACGCGCCCATGCTCTGCTCCAGCTCCGGTGCTCACCTCCAGGCCTTGGTAAGCAAAAACTGTCTAGCTTCAGTTGGTGCGGTTCCACAGACTTGTAACATGGGCATCAGAGAGAGAAAAACTGGGCAGCACAGCAGCCAATGCTGGGTTGCCACAATGAAGGAGGCAAAATGCACAAAAACCAACAGGCTCATCTGGCACCAGAACTCCTCGAACGTTCTCTTCCATTGAGGTCACCCTACTTCTTTTCTCCTTGACGCATGAAGCCAATGTGCCACATTCTTTCCATCCATGCCTGAAAAAGGACAAGACTTCTGGCTGATTCCCACCCTCTCCACTAAGAAGATAAGCCCCCCTGTAGAGCACAGGAGACCTCCATCATTCATACCTTCCAAAGGAGGTCTCACCACCTTTCAAAATAAGTGAATCCAGACTTTCATTTATAATTATGAATGGACAAGAAGCCACCAAAAACGTAGAGAAATCCAACAGTGAAAAAGATATGCTGAATCTAATCAAGCCTCTGTTCTAATTGCCAGCATATGTGAAATACAGAGGACAGAAAAACACGATAAATAACACAATGATATAATCATCCAAAGCCAAATGTATGAAATTCTACTAAACAAATAAGTCAGTTTCTACAAAAAGTGAATGGTGTAATAAGGTGGGAGAGGGAGAGACTGTTACAGATAACAGTCAACAACTAAATGCTTTGGAAACTCATTCAAACCAACCAACTCAAGGAAGGCATTTTAAAGATAATTGAGAGAAAACTGAATATTAGTAGGAATTTTAAAAATATCGTTGGGCTTCCCTGGTGGCGCAGTGGTTAAGAATCTGCTTGCCAACGTAGGGGACACAGGTTCAATCCCTGGTCTGGGAAGATCCCACATGCCGCGGAGCAACTAAGTCCATGCGCCACAACTACTGAGCCTGCACTCTAGAGCCCGTGAGCCACAACTACTGAGCCTGTGCTCCAGAGCCCGCGAGCCGCAAATGCTGAGCCCACGTGCCACAACTACTGAAGCCCGTGCGCCTAGAGCCCGTGCGCCGCAACAAAAGAAGCCATCGTAATGAGAAGGCTGCAGGCAACGCAACAAAGAGTAGCCCCTGCTCGCCAAAACTAGGGAAAGCCCGCACAGCAACGAAGACACAATGCAGCCAAAAATAAATAAATAAAATAAATAAATTTATTTAAAAAAATAAATAAAATAAAATATCGTTGGTTTTGTTGGATGTGATAATGGTATCATGTTTATTTTTTTATGCCTATATTTATCAAAGTGACATACTTAAATATCTACAAATGAAATTATATATATATATGTGATTTACAAGATTAAAAAAATATATTTTAGCCAAAATATAAAAAGCAGGGGGGGTGGGGTGGGTAGATGAAATGAGAACAGAAGAATATTGATGAATCCATGGGGATTCATTATACTATTTTTTCCAATTATGCTTACATTTAATGTGTTCATAATTAAAAGTTTATTAAATAAATAATAAGAAAATGAATAAATGTGAAACTAAACAAGCAGAACAAACATACCCCCCAATTAAACAAAGATAATTTAAGAGGCTGGGGAAAAGTTTTTGAAATTCTAATTAGTATCTTCGGTGAGAGTTGACAGAATACTGTATCCATAAAATAAGAACAGGCTACTATGAAAAATGCGAATCGCAGAATGAAGAAAAGCTACTGAACATTAAAAATATGATGACTGAGACTTAAAAGAGAGACAGGAGGGCTTCTCTGGTGGCGCAGTGGTTAAGAATCCACCTGCCAATGCAGGGGACACAGGTTCGAGCCCTGGTCCAGGAAGATCCCACAAGCTGTGGAGCAACTAAGCCCGCGTGGCGCAACTACTGAAGCCCATGCGCCTAGAGCCCATGCTCCGCAACAAGAGAAGCCACTGCAATGGGAAGCCCGTGTACCGCAACGAAGAGTAACCCCCACTCGCCACAACTAGAGAAAGCCCACGTGCAGCAATGAAGACCCAACGCAGCCAAATAAATAAAATTGAATTAAAAAAAAAAGAGAAAGAAATTAGCAGAATGGGTGCTATGGAAAACAGAACTTGGGATGTGAAAGACAAAACTGAGAAGTTCCCTCAGATAACAGCAGTATAAGGCAAAAAGACAAAATATAAGAGAAAAGTGGAGATCCAGTATATACCTAATAAGAGTTCCAGAAGGAATAGACTAAAATCGACCCTTGAACAACATGGGTTTGAACTGCATGGGTCCATTTATATGTGGATATTTTTTTCAGTAAGTATATAGTCAGCCCTCCATATCCGCAGGTTGCATCCTCAGATACTGAGGGCCAACTATGGGACTTGACCATCTGTGGGTTTGGGTATCCAGGGCAGGTCTTGGAACTAATCTCCCGCCGATACCAAGGGAGGACTGTAGAAGCAAAAGAGAAAAATTAGTAATAGGGTTTCCCCGGTGGCGCAGTGGTTAAGAATCCGCCTACCAACGCAGGGGACACTGGTTCGAGCCCTGGTCCGGGAAGATCCCACATGCCACAGAGCACCTAGGTCCGTGCGCCACAACTACTGAGCCTGCACTCTAGAGCCCGCGAGCCACAACTACTGAAGCCCATGCACCGAGAGCCCATGCTCCGCAACAAGAGAAGCCACTGCAATCAGAAGCCTGTGCACTGCAACGAAGACCCAACACAGCCAAAAATAATAAATAAATAAATTTATTTAAAAATTTTTTTTAAAAAAGAAAAATTAGTAACAGAAAATTTCTTTGAGGGGAAGAGAAACTTGCAACACTTTAAGCAAAAATATTGAAAAAAATCAAAATTTATTCTGATAAGACTTCTGAATCAACAGTATATGAGAAAATCCATTGGCTTCTAGCCAGAAGAAACATGCCAAAATCTACTGGCTTCTAGACAGAAGAAACATGTTATCACCAAAAGAAAGAAAGGTAGACTAACATAAGATTTCTCATCTTGAACACTATATATCTGAAGGACAACAGAACAATGTCTACAAATGTTTGAGGAATAGATTATCATTCTAGAATTCTATATCTAGAGAAGCTACCACACAAGGATACAGAAAAGTGAAGACTTTTAAGTATGCAAAGACTCAGCATGAACCACCCATGCACTATTTCTGGGGAAAAAACAAACCACCACACATGTAAGTGCTTAGCTGCCCCTCCTCACCACTGTAATGACAACAACAAAACCATAACAGCCAGATAAAGTCAAGGAAGGAAAATATGGACTACTAAACAACAACAGCCGCCCCCCAAAAAAACCACAATTATAATTCATGAAATGAGGAAAATATAATTAAATCTAAATAATATGGTTGACCTTAATTCTTTGCTAAGATAAAATAAATATTTCTCTGCTAAGTCTGCCTCCCTGCAAATTCCAAACAATATTAAAAATGAGAAAGGGGGCATGGAAGCAGATAAGCATTAAAAAGTAAAGAAATACTGTCTTCAACTTCATGTAAGTGCCCACAAGTGCCTCCACAACAGATTTTGACGCAGTTCAACTCTTTGACAAGAGACCCATGTCACCTAGAATCTGCCATTTGGGTTACAAATAACCCAACAGTGACCTGTGCTGGAGGCTCCACGCAGAGGATGGCATGTACAAATGCCTACTACATGGTAGCTGAGTACTGTTTGTGAAGTAGAAAATGTAACACTTTAAGCATTTCCATTTATTCATGACTAATAACGACCTTAATCAACTAGAAGAGACAGCCTATGTGTAAAACAAATGATAGTAGCTGAAAATACTCAGAACAATGAGATTTGCCAGTTGAATCTTTATAAAGGAATGATGCAATGCTCAGTCCCTCTGATTTACTCTGTAAGGCTGCAGTTCTCAAAATGTGGTCCTGGGACCCAGGGGTCCCTGAGACATTTCTGGAGCATTCTCAAGGTCAAATCTATTTTCACAATAATACCAAGACATTACTTTCCACTCTCATTCTCTCGTGAGTATATAGTTCAGCTTTCCAGAGGTTACATAACATGTCTAATAGCACAACAAATTTAATACAGAGGGAGACATGAGAATCTAAGGCAAAAATGTAAAACAATGCCACTCTCTTGCTAAACTTTTGTTTGTGGAAAATAGTTACTTTCATAAAAATATGTTACTGATGCTAACACGTAATGGGGTTTATTATCATAATAATTATTTCTAAATGAACTAATCAAATATTTTAAAAATATGTCCGTTTTAATTTCCAATACAGTAAATGTAGAGAACAATAATCCACACAAAGACATTATTTGGTGTCCTAAACTACTTTTAAGTGTAAAGACCAACAAGGTTAAGACCACTGTTCTAAGTCTCCAAGGGAATACTAACCCAGGACACTCGTTAGGCAACTTTACTAGTGAGAGGAGTCTCTGTCTTTTAAAAGGTCACACTTGAGCATACACACATTTGAGCATAGTTTGGTTTCTCCTCTCTCTTGGCTCCTGTGTTTAGAAATAAATTATCATAAGCCACCTTATTTGAAGCCAAGGTCATTGGCTCTTAGTGTTTACTTGTGCGTGTCTACTATGTA